CTGTTATCTAGCAAACTAAGTTGATTGATTGTTGATTTAAGTAAAAGCGGTAAGAAAGCAAGAAATGGTTCGATTTTCTAAAGCAAAGGAAGAGTCACTCGGGAATGAGTCCCCCTAGCTCCTTATTTAGGTCACAGTTGTAATTACTTTTGGTTGCTTTACTGCTGATTATACTGCGGAAGATCCGATAGTGGCTTGGAATCTCTTAAGCTGACCAAGCCCTCTCAGTCAAACTACCTGGCAGACGACTAGTCTTCACTGGGATAGAACGCTGAGGCAATGAACACAGAATTCCACTACTGGAATTGGATTCCAGTACAAAGCAGTGAATCGACCAACTCTCCTATAATCGATTCACTACTACCGAATGAAGAAGCTCTAACAACCTAATCAGATTCTATCTATCTCAGGTTGATGCAGAAATCAATAAAAGATGATCAGACTTCTATTGACTCAATCAAAACACTTCAATCAATTATAATCAAGCAATATCACAATCCAAACGTAATTACAATTAGGATTCCTAACACATGGAACTAGGGTTCTTCATACCCAAGTGAGAGAAAGTTCTACTCCATATAGAGAGAGAGAGAGAGAGAGAGAGGAAATCAGAGTAGTCATACTCATAAAGATGAGGAAAATCTGCTCTGGGATGTCAATCTTCACTCCTGGGGATGCAATCTAGGCTTCAATGGTGAGAAATCCACTCCAAATAGCTCCTAGGGTTTGTTCTTCGCACTTTCTCTCTCTAAAACTCTGTTTTTGCTCCAAAAAGTCGACTCCCTCTCCTTTGGCTCAAATCTGCCTCAAAAACCCAATTATGGGCAAAACACGGTCGAGGGCACGGTTGTGTTTTGCTTTTGCCCGTCCGTGCCCTTGCCACGTGTTAAAAACACGCCCGCATCGGCCAAAACACGGTCGTGCGTAAATATGGATACGACCGTGTTTTTCTTTAGGCCAGCCCGTGTTTTGCTTTTCCATCAGTTCAGCTCTCGCACATAAAAACACTGGCGTGCCTGTTTGTGTACACGGTCGTGTTCTTCAGGCCTCATGTCCGTGTTTTGCCCCCAGCTCGACCGAATGACCTCCAAACGCCCCGAATCTCGTGCTTAGCCTTTTTTTCGACATCTGGGACCTGAAATATGACAAAGTAGCACAACCCAGCGTAAAAAGGGCCAAAAATACACGACTACTAGCCGCAAACGGATAAGAACTAAGGGTGCAAACATGTGCAAATACATCGTTATCAGGTGGTATGAGGCTCCTTCTGAGACTAGCCGCTCTGGGTCTTGCCCCAGCGGTTGGATACCCATCCTTGTTGAGCACGTCAAGCTTGGCTTGTGTTTTCCGCTTGACCCCTTGACGAAGGTCTTGAATTGGCTCCAATGCATTCTGGGGCGGCTTTCACCAACGATTATCTTTCATTCAGTCATGTACCGTCTTGCGTGCGACCGCATTAAGGAAGATCTGTGGTTTGACCTGTTCAGACTTATTTACAACATTAGAGACTCGACCAATTGTTGGTTGATCAGGAGGCGGGAGAATTCAATCGGCTTTGTTAGCGGGGTGCATAAGCTGGACTAGCCTTGGTATAAGGAGTATTTTTTCGCTCGACCGTCCTGGAAGTGGTATGCTGGTGATACAGAGCCGCCTACGGGTTATGCGGTTGGTTAGAAGGATAACTGGTGTGATTCCCATCAGTTTCCTCAATCTATGCGAGACCATGTGGCACGCATTGTGGAGGCTGCCAGTTGCGTGTGCATCACAGCGATTCTGACAGTGCATACCAGCTTGTTCACGGTTTTTACGGTTAGTAGTGTATTTTCTTGACTTTCGTGCTTATCTTTCTCATGTATTTTTACTTATGCTTTCTTTCCCCAGGTTTGAGGGAGTTGGCGGATGCTAACAGGCCGTAAAGGAAGAAGGCGAGAAAGACCTCTCGTGCGGGAGGCGTGTCCTCGTCGGCTGCACTTGCCACGGCTGATCCGTCGGTGGCTTCTCCGGTTCAGCTAAATGTTGATCCTCCTGGTGCGGCTGGTGGTGTTTCGGTTCCAGTGGTGCGGGGCGCGGGGAAGAGGTTGCTACCACAGGAGACGCCTGAAGCGGTCTTCAAGTGCGTCAAGATCCGCGCTTCCCCTTCCAAGGCGGAGGATAGGCGTGGGAAGGGCGTGAAGCGGTATGATAAACCGAGTCTTGTGGATGTGCCTCCTTTGGCCGCTACTGACACCGAGGCTGTTGAGTTGGCATTCCATACTATCAGCGAGCAGCTCGTGATTCCCAACGAGTACACAACTACTTCTCAGGGGAATAACCGCCGTCTCGCAGTTCTTCTTTGGGGTTAGTGTCTGCAATCTTTTCAATCGTGCTTGTGATTTCTTCATGTTCTTTTCTAACTGGTTCGGTGTTTCCATTGTAGGCTCAGCTCGAGTTTTCGCAGATTATCTTGCTGAATGACCGTCTTTCGAAGACTGTCGATGATAACGCAGTCGCAAATTGCTTACCTTAAGAAGATTTTGGATGAGGGGCGAGCAGCATTGGTGGAGGAATTGCATCCTGACACGCTAAAACACAACACCAAACTGTGACCAAGTGTAATCGCAGTCCGGAAATGCAGTAACAGGTAAGCTCTAATTGACAACCCGGGGTCTAGATCTACTGCCTACTGATAGACCATTGATTACACATGTTTTTACCTCTATTCTTGAGCCGTTTGAGATGTCGATTCCCGCGTTTTAAGCCGATTTCAGGTCCTAGTACGTGAATGAAGGTTTAGGAACGAGTTCTGGGTCGATTGGACGAAGATTGGACATTTCGCGGGAAGCTGATGGAGCCACACGGGCGCGCCTAAAACCTACACGGCCGTGTGCCCGGCCGTGTGGCACCAAATTGCACGGTCAAAGTCACACGGGCCGTGTAAAGGACCCCTTGTGGCCGTGTGAAGGCTCGATAAATCCCACACGGGCATCCTGGAACTCCACACGGCCGTGTGGGTCGTGGCCGTGTAGGAAGTCTGAGCCACTTATCTAAACGCCGCGGTTTGCAAAAAGTCACACGGGCAGCTGGAGAAGTCACACGGCCGTGTGGCCTGGCCGTGTGATCGGGATTTTCAGCTTAAAACCCAATTTTCAGCCACAAGTGAAGGGTTCCGAGTTTTAGAGAGACAGAGCGATTCCTAGAGAGAGAAAGTAACGAACCAGAGTTCCCAAGTGCCCTAGCTTGATCTTCATCACCATTGGAGCCCGGCTTGAGCTTGGAGAAGATCCAATTGAGCGCTAGAAGCAGATTATCATCCTTCACAGTATGGTTTCCGCATCTGAGCTAGATTTTCCATCTCTCTCTATGGAGTAGTTTACTTATTCATCTGGGTATGGAGACAAGTACAGATTCTGTGATTTGATTATATTCAATTGAGGTTTGATTTGTTGAATGGCATGAATCCTTATCAAATTCCTGTTGTTTCTGCTTTAACCTAGAAAGAGAATATCTTTTTTTTTTTTTGGTAGAAAGAAAGAGAATGTCTGACTAGGTTGATAGAGCATCCTTAATTGAAGGTAGTGAATTGGCGACTTTAGTCGAGGAGCCAATTCACTATTCTGTACCGAATTTACTTCGGTAGTGGAGGTTTGGTTCGTTAGGGCCTCAATCTGTTTACTCCGATGGAGGTTAGTCGCCCGCTGGGGACTTAGATTGAGAGGGTCTGGAGACCTTTAGTCGAGACGTCAGACTGTTTAAGAACCTTCAGTAGTATAACTATCATTGAAATTGAACTTGGTGAATTACAATCCAGCTTAACTGCAGTCTAGGGTGAACCATATCCGGGTGACCTCTCTTGACTTGGAAACAACCTTCTTGCTTGCCTTGTTTGTTTGCTTGTTTGAACCTGCACTAAATTTTTACCGCTAAATAATGAGAATTCGCTGAGTAGTCATCACATCTAGGACCCGGGTTGACATTAAAACCCAAACCCGCTATACTACGCTTTAGAAAGTGGTTACACTAGGCCATTTTCTAGACTGACAGTAGGAGTGAGTCACCTACTCCGTGATTATCTATTATCTAGCAAACTAAGTCGAGTGATTGTTTTTTAACTAAAAGCAGTAAGAAAGCAGGAAATGGTTCGGTTTTCTAAAGCAAGGGAAGAGTCACTCGGGAATGAATCCCCCTAGCTCCTTAGTTAGGTCACACTTGTAATTACTTTTGGTTGCTTTACTGCTGATTATACTGCGGGAGATCCGACAATAGCTTGGAATCTCTTAAGCTGGCCAAGCCCTCTCAGTCAAACTACCCGGCAGACGACTAGTCTTCACCAGGATAGAACGCTGAGGCAATAAACACAGAACTCCACTACTGGAATTAGATTCCAGTACCGAGCAGTGAATCGACTAACTCTCTTATAATCGATTCACTACTAGCGATTGAAGAAGCTCTAACAACCTAATCAGATTCTATATATCTCAGGTTGCAGCAGAAATCACTAAAAGATGATCATACTTCAATTGACTCATTCAAAACACTTCAATCGATTATAATCAAGCAATATACCAATCCAAACATAATTACAATCAAGATTCCTAACACATGGAACTAGGGTTCTTCATACCCAAGTGAGAGAGAGTTCTACTCCATAGAGAGAGAGAGGGAAACAGAATACAAAGCAATCGTACTCATAACAATGGGAAGAATCTGCTCTGGGATGTCAATCTTCACTCCTGGGGATGCAATCTGGGCTTCAATGGTGAGATATCCACTCCAAATAGCTCATAGGGTTTGTTCTTCGCACTTTCCCTCTCTAAAACTCTGTTTTCGCTCCAAAAAGTCGACTCTCTCTACTTTGGCTCGAATCTGCCACAAAAAGGCGATCCTGGGCAAAACACGGTCTAGGGCACGGCTATGTTTTGCTTTTTCCCGTCCGTGCCCTTGCCACGTGTTAAAAACACACCCACAGCGGCCAAAACACGGTTGTGCCTATATATGGACACGACCATGTTTTCTGTCACTTTCGCCCGTGTTTTGGACATCGCAGAAGCCCCTTTAATCAAGCCTCGGCATAAATAACACGGCCCAGGAACACGGCCGTGTTTTGGATTTAGTCCAGCCCGTGTTTTTCTTCCTCATTAGTTCATCTCTCGGCATAAATAACACTGACGTGCTCTTTTCGTGTACACGGCCATGCTCTTCAGGCCTCCTGCCCGTGCTTTGACCCCAGCTCGACCGAATGACCTCTAAACGCCCCGAATCTCATGCTTAACCTTTCCATCGACGTCTGGGACCTGAAATATGACAAAGTAGCACAACCCAGCGTAAAACGGACCAAAAATACACGGCTACGAGCCACAAACGGATAAGAACTAAGGGTGCAAACATGTGCAAATACATCGTTATCACATCCTCAGATAGAGAAGAGCTTCGAGGATCGGTTGGCTCGGAATGATCAGGACCTGCTGGACGAGCGGGAGGCGTCCAAGGCGGTTCGCGAGGAGAGGGAATGTCTCTAAGATTCGCTTCGAAAGTCAAGTGAGATTGAGAAGACATTGATGGAGGAGCAGGATGCACTTCGCAAGGAGGTGGACGCCCTGAATTCAGAGAAGGCGTCTTTGCTGGTAAATCATGAGGCAGAGGTGGATGTTGTTCGAGCTGAAGCTAGTCCTGCCTACTTGAAGTCTGCCGAGTTTCTTGCCTATGATAAGGTGAAGTACAATGAGGTAGTAGGCAACGTGGTGGGCGCCATAAGTCACATGTTTCGTAGGGAGCAACCTGATGTGGCCTGGGACACTAACCGCGTGTGGGATGCTATCTACCATTGGTCCTCTTTTGACGTGACATCTGAGGCTGACGGTTCAGAGGAGGACGAGGTGGGAGATGAGGAAGAGTCTGTTGAAGAAGGTGATGCAGGTAGCAGGGGTTCTCAGAGTGTTGGAGACCAGATTGATTACTCTTTTCAAGTTTTTCTATCTTTTGGCGGGTTTTAAGAGCCCTAGACATTTTCCTTTGTGGAGATTTGTTGCTATAAAAACATGTTGTTGGAGCAGGTTTATGATATGGCGTGTTTTTTAGCTTATTAAGCCGTGTGTTTTTCAAATTACAGACCGCGTTGGGGCAGGGTTTTTTGACTTTGTGGATCGTATGTTGTTTTCATACTTGTTGATCAAACGCAAGAGAAGTCATTGGAGACAGAGATTTGGCCGAAAGATATGAGTGTACTACTTGAAAAAAAGTGGTGCTTGGTAGCAGCTAATACACTATTACACATAGAGGAGTTCTTTCCTATCCACTTTAAATGCCCTTGTTTGAACAAGGAGTACTTCAGACCGTCTCTGTGTAGTATTTTCTCATATGCATGTCATTCCAAGTTTTGGAGACAGGGGCGCGTTCCATTGTGGCAAGGCGAAAGGTGTTGAGACCCGTCTTTTCTCCAATAAGGAAGGGGCCTCCCCATGTGGGGGCTAGTTTGCCATGCTCGTCCTTCTTTTGGAAGTCCCGCTTGAGAACCATGTCTCCCTCCTCGAGAGGTCGTGGTTTCACCCTTTTGTTGTAGGAAGCGGAAGCCATTGCTTTTTCATGCATGACGCGTTCCATGGCCGCATCACGTCGTGACTCTACCATGTCCAGATGCTCCACCAGCTTCTTGTGATTGCTCTCCGGAAGGTATGCCTGAACGCGAAGGGAGGGGAGGTTCATCTCTTCTAGGGTGACCGCTTCGAAACCATAAGTTAGAGCGAAAGGAGTTTTGCACGTAGCTATTTTGTGGGTCATGTGATGCACCCACAAGATGTGTGAAAGCTCGGTTGTCCATGCCCCTTTGGCCTCTTGGAGGCGCTTCTTCAATCTTTGGAGGATCAGCTTGTTGGATGCATCGGCTTGGCCATTGGTTTGTGGATATGCCACTGAGGCCATAGTGCATGTGATGCAGTTTCGGGCGCAAAAGTTCTCAAATGGCCGACAATCAAATTGTGCACAGTGATCCTTGATGATTGAATGCGGGATGCCAAAGCGGATCATGATGTTGTTAAATACAAACTTTTGGATCCTTGCTCTTGTGATCGTCTCCAGCGGTTCCGCTTCTATCCATTTGGTGAAGTAGTCTACCGCCGCCACCACGTATTTCTTCCCAAGAGGCGACGTGGGAAAGGGTCCCAAGATATCAAGTCCCCATCTAGCGAACGGCCATGGGCCCACCACACTTTGTAGTTCAGAGCTCGAAAGGTGGTGCTTGGCAGCATGCACTTGGCACGCGTGACACTTGAGGACAACGTCTTATGCGTCTTTTTTGATCGTTGACCAGTAGTATCCCTGCAAGAGGATCGTCCTCTCGAGCGACCGGGGACCATCATGTGTGACACACGTCCCTTGGTGTATCGCTTTCAGGGTCCACTGCGCCTCTTCTTCCCCGAGGAATTTCAGTTTTCCCCTTGAGAATGACCTCTTACATAGCTGGCCGTCAACCATTGAGTATCGGACCGCTCTTTGTTTGAGCGCCTTTCATTCGACTGGGTGTTGTGGGGTGATGTCGTGCTCTAGATACTAGATCAAGGGCGTCCTCCATTCGACGGCCTCTTTGATGCTCATGACTTCCTCGTGGGATTCGCCTTCCTTTGTGACGATGACGTGCCGATCCCCTTCAAAATCCATGGCAGTTGCAAGTTTAGAGAGTGCATCGGCATATTGATTGTCATCTCGTCGAACGTGATCGAGCTTCAAAGTGTTCAATTGTGCCAAAGCGCTCCGCAGCTTTGTAGCCAAAACTGCTAACATTTCATCCTTGATTTTGAATGCTTCAAGCACCTGTTTGACCACTAGGAGGGAGTCAGAGAATATGTGCACGTTGATCGCACCCAAGTTGGAGATTATTTGATGCCCGTTGATTAAGGCTTCGTATTCAGCAATGTTGTTGGTCTTGATCTCTCTAAATATCAAAGAGATTTCATAGACCACTCCGTCGAGCGACTCAATGACGTTCCCTGCCCCTGCGGCGGTCTTGCCAGCTGCTTCGTCTGTGAATAGGCGCCAGAATCGATTGCGCTCCTCTAGGGGAGTGGTTTTGAAAGAGAATCACTCGGCGATGAAATCAGTTAGGACTTGTCCCTTGATGGCCGATCTCGAGCGTAGTCGATGTCGTATTCTCTAAGCTCGATTTCCCATTTGGTCAGCCTGCCTGAGGCGTCCATAGCCCTCATGATGCTTTTGAGAGGAAAATGGGACAGCACCGTGACAGGGTGCTCTTGGAAGTACGGTCTTAGTTTTCTGGCCGCGAAAGCTACGGCGAGGACCGCCTTTTTGACAGGCATGTATCTTGTTTCTGCTGGAAGGAGTGCTTTGCTAACATAGTATACAGGTTGGTCAGAGCCATCTTGCGCCCTTCACACAAGGACTGAGCTCACATCTTGTTCTGAGACTGCCAGGTATAGATAAAGTCACTCCCCGTTGATAGGGGCGCTCAAGACTGGTGGGGAACTAAGTTGGTTTGTTAGCATTTCGAAGACTTTATCGCACCCGGTGCCCCACTAGAGTCTTGAGGATGACTTCTTCAGCATTTGGAAGAATGGAGAGCATTTTTCTGCGGACCTCGGGATGAATCTCCCTAGCACTGCCATTTTCTCTTTGAAAGCCTGGATTTCTTTGATGGTCTTTGGAGGTTTTTGGCTGCGTATGGCCTCCATTTGCTTCGGGTTATCCTCTATCCCTCCCTTCGTAATCATGAAGCCGGGAAACTTCCCCGCTTCGGCTCCAAAGACGCACTTGATTGGGTTGAGCCTCATATTTCTCCTTCTCAGCGTCTCGAAAGTTTCTCGCAAGTCGGATAGGAGGTCGCTTGCCTTCTTGCTTTTGACTAGCACATCGTCGACGTATGCCTCTACATGTCTTCCCATTTTGGTCTATGAAGACCGTATCGACCATCCTTTGGTAGGTCGCCCCTGCGTTCTTCAACCCGAAGGGCATGACTATGTAGCAGAAGTTTCCCATGGGAGTCATGAAAGCGGTGAGCTCTTGGTCGCCTTCAGCCATTCTGATTTGGTGATATCCAGAAAACATGTCTAAGAAGCTGAGTGCCTCATGATTGGCGGTCCCATCAATTAGTTGATCAATGCGGGGAAGGGGATATGCATCCTTGGGACACGCCGCATTGAGACTAGTGAAATCAATGCACATTCTCCAGGTACCTCCAGACTTGGGCACAAAAACTGGGCTTGAGATCCATGTGGGATATTTTATCTCCCTGATGAAGTCGGCTTTGAGTATCCGTCGCACCTCCTTTTCGAGGGCCATCTGTTTCCCTACTTACAAAAGCCTTCTTTGCTGTTGTATTGGTCGTGCTTTCGATTTGACCGAGAGGTGGTGCTCGGAGACCCTGCGAGGAACACCACGCATGTCTTCTGGTCACCATGCAAAGAGGTCTTGAAATTCTCTGAGGAGAGTGAGCAGCTTTTGAGCTTCTTCTGCGACCAAGTGAGCAAAAATGTGAACTGTCTTCTCTGGTCGTTCTTCATCTAAAGCGACCGCTATGTCCTCTTTGACCGCTTCGGGGCACAAGATATCCCCCTTTTGCGTCGACGAGGTCGACCTCGAGGTGTTTGATGGTCGCTTGGTAGCACTCTTTGGCTTCCTTTAGGTTGCCTCGGATGCGGTCCGTCTGTCCCGCTAGGGAGTTTTAGCATCTGGTGGCATGTGGACGCGACCGCCTTGAATGAAGTCAGGAACCCACGTCCGAGAATGGAATTGTATGCCGAAGGACAATCCGCCACATGGAATTCCACTGGTCTGGTCTTCTTGATTCCACCCTCGCCTATAGTGACTATGAGTATGATCGATCCAAGGATGCGGGCTTTAGTTCCTGAGAACCCTACTAAGCTGTGTTTGAGGGACTGAGGTCTTGGACGCTCTTCTTCGTTCATTTGAGAGCCGAGTAGAAGAGAATGTTTGCGGAGCTTCCGTTGTCAACGAGGGCTCCGTTGACTTTGAACTTGGCGATTCTGAACGAGATGACCAAGGGGTCCTCTGTATTTTCCTCTTTGGTCAGCTCGGATGGCAGGAAAGTGACATCGGTTGGCACCCTGCGTTGAACGTTTAGGCAGTGAGCTATCTGCCTCCCGCAATGGTTATAATTCTCATCCCATCGTGATCGTTATGCAGGGGTCTGTAGGCAGGAGATTGTCTTTATGGCGAGATGACCTTGTTTCTCGGAGGAGATCTTGACCTTTCTTTCCTTGACCTTCTTGTTTTGTCCACTTCGGGACTACGGGAGTCCTCCAGTGTTTCTTGAGAATGGTCGCGATGAGGACGCCGCATCTCGAGGTGGCTTCACAGGTCTCCTGGAGCCAAATATCTTAGGCTCGCCTTAAACTCCCTACACTGTGGTGTCGTGGGTGGTGATTTGGTTCCAGTCGCACCACTTTTTCCCGCCTTGCGGTTTTTGTTCGCATGACGCCTCATGTTTCTTGCCTCCTCTTCATCTTTCTCTTCCTCTTTCTCGGTCAGTGGAAAATACTTCCCTTTTTGCATCGCGCTCGTCTATTACGATACGACCTTCGCTCAGGGGAGCGCCTCCAACGTCGGGCGTCCCCGCGCTCTTGAGGGTCGGCCCGGGGGCAACCTTGCTGGTTTCGGTCATCGGTAGCCAATGCTTCCTCGAGTAAGATCGCCCTTCTCACCAACTGATCTAGGTCGGAACCTGAAGTTAAGGCGGCCTCCTTTTTTATCAAGGTCCTCTTGAGTTTGATGGTGGTTGTGGATATTCTGAGATTGCCGGCGGCTACGACCGAGGAGATGACTTGTATCTTGCATGCGATCACGTTCCATCGGTTGTAGAACTCCGCGAGCTATTCTTCCATCCTTTGTCTGCAATTTATGAGTGCGGAGATGGTGAGCTTACGACGCCTTTGAGAGGCGAACTTCGTGGAGAAGAGCATCGCGAATTGCTCGAAATTCTCAATTATCCCTTCCGGGAGGGAGGTATACCACGTCCTACACTGACCGTTGAAGGTGACGGGGAACGCTCGACACAAGTCTGAGTCCGACGCATTGATGAGT